GAGAAGTCATGAAACCATGATTAGAAACAATAACCTAGATAAGATAAGGCAGTGATAGTAAACAAACAGCGTGAGCAAAGAGTGAGCAAGAAAGCCGAAACTGATTTATAAATAAGTTTGGAATGTCTTTGGACTAATTTTAGTGTACTGCGAGAAAAGGTAGTTTGAATAAAAGTTCCCAGGGATTTTCTTTATCAAGATTTTGTCGCACCAACTGGCATTATGGTCCATTGCAATAACTCTGAAATCTGTAATTGAGTGACCAGCTGAATTGAAATGCTCCGCTATTGGTTGATCAAGCTAGGAATGTGTTGATAGCTGATCAATTCTGTCATTCCATAATTAATATTTCAATATAGGCCTATGAGATAAATGACATTTCGATTATGCAAATCAATTGATAATATCTGTGGTTTGTTTGGTTGCTCTTGATTGTGTAGAATGGAGCAAGAGTTCAAAAGTTTATATGATGAAGATCTCGAAATACTATAGGCCTATACATATTATATGCTCCTACCGAAATATCATTGCCAGGGAGGTGTCACTCCAATATAAATAATTATTCCCAAAATCGTAATCAACAGCAACCATATGTCCGTTGAATGTCCTTTCTTTCTCGGGTGATCCAATAAAAGTATCATCATCAAGTATTGGATACGAGACAATCGAAACTCCTTGCTCAACAATCATTAAAGTTGCATCGACGTCATTCTCCGCAACACAAGTGTGATTATCACTGGTCAACCGATAACCGTTTGAGCATGCGCATATGACTGCACCTGTTGAATCATCGCACCAATGGCTACACAAATCGTCAAGTTCTTGACATGACGTAATTGGATCACATGATCTTCCATCATCGCCTAGTTTAAAGCCAAAGGAACATTGACAGGTGGAGTCAACGCACTTGTGTGCACAGCCGCCTTTGTTGTATTCACACACATCTATAGCAAAACATGAATTCAAAATATAAATCGATCGATTAATTCATTGATTAATAATAATAATAATAATAATAATAATAATAATAATAATAATCTTTATTCATTCCACCACCTATGGTACAATACCGAAACCAAGAAGGCAATGCCTGTAAGCAGGTCCAGTGCTAACTAATAAATTAATGCCTTAAATAAACATCAAACGGAAACATGGTCCTAACTCGCCTAACCCTCCTGAAAGGGTTATTCACTTTGGGACCGGTGTTCATGGTCTTTAGCAGCTTTGGTTTATTTTGTAAATAAATAGACAACAATTAAATGGTTTTAATTTGAGGTGGCCTTTAAATGGCAGGGCCTTTATTTAGAGGGAAACATCAATATGCTTAAAAAAAAACATTACAATCTTAATCATCACCTTCATCAGTATTATCATCAGCATCATCATTATCATTATATCAATCATTATTATTTACCGATGTATGAAACCTTAAATAAATCACAACTAAATAAATACTATTTTATTTATTATTTATTTACTTATGTATTCCAATCCAACAGCAAATCATCTCCACAAACAGGCCGGTATAAAATTTCTTAACTAAATAGATAAACATAAAAAAATATACCAATAAATCAGAAAAATGCTTAACAGTGTACGAAATGTTTTAACTTACCTAACATCCAATATTCACAGTCAAAACCATCCTTACATCTACATACGAATGGTGTCACGGGCCCCGATGTAGTAACTGGTGAAGGTAGGCAAAAGCTTCGACTGTCATAACACTCGAAACATACATTTTCATATTCTACAGAATAATAAGCAAACAAAATGTATTATTAGGCTACCTCTGCCAAGGAGGTTATACCCGCAGTCTGTTTATCAGCATTTACGCAAAGAGGATCAATATAAAATTTATAGTAAACTTGCCACAACGAGCAAGTTTTAGATTGAAATTTTGAGACGGAGTAAGGAAATTGTGTATGGGACACCAAATATATTAGGTATGGCACGCACTAAGCGCAATAGAGAGTGAGTGAACTAAAAAATTAGGGCCGGTATATAATAATCTAGGAAAGTGATGATTACATTTTGGAAAGAAAAAATCTAAGAAGGCAAAAAAAAAAAAAAAAAAAAAAAAAAAAAAAAAAAAAAAAAAAAATTACCTTAGAGCAGAAGGTACTAGATTCACCCATAACCGGTCTACGTATTGTTTGGTATATACGTACAGGTAAAAAGGCACTGTGGTATGCTCTCCAGACTAGGCTAAACCCACTTCTCTCTTGATTTTGAATTTATATCGGTTACAGCGAATTATTATTATCCCCACGTACTGTCACTACAGTCAGTGACCGTGGACATAGGATACACTTGTTAGGAATATGGTATTTCTCTCATTGTTTACGCCAATTAAATTGGGTATGGCGCGCAGTAAGCGCAACAAAGAGTGAATAACCCAACATCAAAGCCTGGGACCCAGGCTATGAGTATTGAGGCGCAAGTTGAAATCTGATATGAGGACCTGTGGTCCGAGGTTAATTGAACATATATGGTCTAAACGGAAGTTTTTGCTTTTATAGTGTTTCCTTTATATTGTATAAACGCTTTAGAATTTCAGCCATTTTGTTCTTTCAAAACTTACTTATGTCTTACCTGGTTGTCGAAGGGGATGAACAATTTTCAAATCCTGTATACCCGGAAACAAACCGACAAAAGATTTCTTCGAAGTTGATGTAGGATCCAGTTTGTTTGCCGCCACTATACCGTCGATCGTCCAATCAGTCCAGTACAGAACATCTTCGAAGATGGTTAATGAGAACGGATGACTAAGCGTACCCAATGAGTGATATATGGTCTGTACGTTTTCACCATTAAAATCGCTTACTTGGAGGATGTCTAGGTAAGCATCAACCCAGTACAGAGTGGATGCGGGATAGTCAATTGTCAAGCCGTTTGGCCACGTAAGATTCTTAGCAACCGCCTGATGATGCGAACCGTCCAGCCCCACTTTTGCTACAAGTCCGAAGCCAATATAATTACTCCATTCTGTCCAGAACACATATCTATCGAATAAGAGTAATAATCCAATGTTATAATCACTAAATTATTGTTGTTATCATTTCGCCGAGTAGATTACAATGGTTAGAATGAGTAATTAGAACCTCTTTATTGCCATACAAATAAATTAATTCAATTTAAATTTAATTCAATTCTAATGTCATTAGACTACATATGCCATGCATTGGCCTATTTATAACTCCACAACCAGCCTCCAAATGGGAAAAATGTATACACCTTTCCCACATCTTTTTAAAATTAAAATCAATCAAAACATTTTGTTGAGTCTGGCTTTGAATTTAATGTCTGCTGTAGTGTAATTTTAAAACATCTCTGATGGCTAAAAGATGTAATTTGAAAGCTTATCATATCGTAAATCTAAATGTAAAATACCGTATAGTAAGCCTAATATTAAAGAGCCTGACCGTCTTACTGGGCGTCATACGTTATCTGCATACTAATTAGATTTGGCCAAATCTAGTCCTAGAATTTTTCAATCGATAGGGTTGTGAATGCGCATGCGCATAAACCGTAATCGTCATCAAAGAAAAGTAACAATTACTGCAGGGGTTTCAAGTTGGAAGATGTCACCTCAGGAAGATATGTTTAAATGAGTCTTTTTTTTTTAAACATATTTAATTACATTTTGCTACGCATGATAAATAATAATGCTATGCACTGAATTCCGTGAGACAAGTTTTCGTACATCATAGTAAAAATATGCAAATTATTATAAATGGGACTCGGAGCGGCCGTCACGACTTCCGGTAGACTCATTCGATTTCGGTAGACTTTTAAGCCTGTTTTCCACTAGGCGAAATTATTCGTGCGAATCGAGGGCGTTGGTTCGGTTTCCTGCGCTCTGATTGGTTGCGCACCTTTTTCGCTTCGCAAAAATGTAGAAACAATTCGAACTAACGATTTCGTTGAAGCGAAAACTCCGATAGAAATGTGAATGCGCATGAACTGGCTTTTCTGTCATCATTACCAAGCAAACATAGGCCTACTTACCGAATTCCCGGATGCACAGCGATTGCTCTTGGATTATTTGACAAACCAGCTACCAGCGTCGCTTCTTGATAGGTATCAAGATTAAGCACTTTAATAACTTCGGAGTCTGTGTTGGTGTAGTACATGTTGTTGTGTATCCAGTCTACAGCAAGTCCTTCGCAGGCTCCTGTATAATATTTTGCAGCGTTTGGATAAGGTGATAATGGTATATCGAAATCAAGTGGAGATCTGAAAAACGGAAAAGGCTATTTACAAGCTCGTTATTTTTTGGCAGTGGTTGTTGTTAGAGTTACACATTTAACTCTGATGTTATTGTATATGTGGATTCGATTTGGACAATAACGTCCAGTAGAATTAGGAATTTGTTTATGATTTGCGCAACGCCACTGCCTATATATCATATACAATTTCGGTATTGGGTGTCCAATACCCAAGTACCTTATGAAAATAGAGACTCGCTATCTCTTTTTCTCCAGCGTATGACCATAATCTTAGTGTTTAAAAATACGGATAATGTAGTAATTTTTTTCGTAGGATTTAAGAGTGCTCTGTATACATGTGAGCATCGGTTTATATGCTTGTAATAAGCGTCTAAGGAAGAGTTTTCAATGGACTTCATAAATCTGATTGGTCTGATGAAACTACTTAACCAATCAAAATCGTTTTTAGATTACAATTTTGAAGACAAATGACGCTTTCAAATGGAGTTTTTCCGTTGAAAATCGACCAACCCCTTCGATTGTAGAGGGACTTATACTAAATTTCTGCCGATTTTACTGTTTTTACGTTGAAATAAAACAGAAGTGTGTCTGATTGAAATCAAAAGACCAATGAATCCACCCCACCCCAAACTCGATTAGGTATGAGCGAAGTTATTACAAGAAGTTGAAAAATGGCAATGTTAGAGGTTTTGACGACTTTCACTGGCGCGTTACCGTATACCATTTTAGCACAAAATGTTATCGCACTGATGATGTTAAAACGGAATAGGATGATAATGATGATAACGATGCAGATGATGGTCGGTTTTTTGTGTTAACCGGGTAACAGGTAGGCCCTAAGTGTAACTACAAACCTGCAGCACCACGCTGGGATAAACCTGTTTCGATAAAATTGCTACACCGTAGCTACATGCTATTGCCGACAGTTTACAGTGACGCTGTTGTCGTCGAATCGGGGAGCTTTCCCAATGGACCATTACGTTAAGTTCTGCCCCTTGGATAATTGTTGCTTATCCCACAGTGTTAAATGTGAGTTTGTGGGACAACACGTTTGCTATTAGACATGTGCGTATCTCGTGGCCCTGTTCTGATCAATCATTTATCATATTGACTTTGAGAGGGCTACTTTGAGTCGGAGACAACCACATAATGTAGTGATGGCTTTATCCGTCAGTGTAGCGGTTTTATGTAAACAAAGCCATTGCTAAATGAATGTACGTACGTGTAAATATACTTTTGGATTTCTGATACATCACTCCAGTACATTTCATGTTTCCGTAGATTGTAATCCACTGCAACAATATTAAGTCCTCTGAAGTCCTTACTGCGAACTGGTGTAGAGCCGATAAAAGTACCGTTCAAATTCAAGTATTTAGATATACGGCCGTTACCAACAACAACCATTAACTTTGGGTCTACGTTACTGTCTGCAATGCAGGAACGATTGTCACTGCCCAGTCGGTAACCATCAACGCATGCGCACCTGACCTCGCCCTGCGTATCTTCACAAAGTTGGCTACATTTATAATCAAAATCCTCGCATGACGTAACTCGATCACACGACTTTCCATCCTCGCCCAATTTAAACCTAAATGAGCATTGACAAGAAACAGTTCCGTCGGATGAAGCTATACAAGTATCTTCGCAGCCACCATTCTCAACTTCACACGGATCTGTGAAAAAAAAAACCTTTCCAAATAAAATAGGCTTCTTTACGCTAATCTGATATTTTCGATAAGTACCCTAAACATATTTAAGTAAAAGAAATAAGACCTTAAAGTTCGTGTAATCGATTTGACAGTACTTTTGAAGAATTGTGTGAGGCACTGATAGTTTAATACATCGGCTCTTGACTTGACACCATGATCTTCCATTGATACAGAATCTCAGCATAGCTACTCTTAAACTCATCATGATGACTCTAATGATTAAGAGAGGTCGGTATACTAGACCAAAAATTCATTAAACTCATGAGGACTCTAATGATTGAGAGAGGTCCGTATACTAGACCAAAAAATTAGTGCCGAGAATCTGTAATAATTTCTGGTGATGAGTTGCATACTTTAATAAACTGCACTCAATACTGAGACCAGAGAAACACTTATTTTCGAACGTTAGTTAAGGTATAAACATTATAGCTTACAGAGTACCACACAGTAGTGTCGTCACAACACCAGGTAGCGCCCTCTGTTGCCAACCAGACGTTAGTTACCGTTTATTAAGCCTATATTACGCGAAATTCGGGTTAATTCTAAACGGAAATTCGGGTTAAGCGCCCTATTGTTTACTGTGGTCTTCACTCTCTGATGAGCACAAAACCACCGTCCACCCGTCTTAGTCCTTTGGCGTAAAATGCCTAATGACTTCATAGGCTTCCTGGAATAGGCATTTTAAAATGTAATATTTTACCATCAAAATGTACTAAAACACACAATTTCACGCATTATATTAGTTACCGAACACGCATTTAATCATCAATTAAAATTTACAAAGAAAAACTAAGATACAACATCTTAATAATTACGGTACGTTAGAAATTGGGACCAATGGTTTGTCAGTCAGTGGAGAAAATGGTGTCCCCCGTTGAACTCATATGGCAACGGAGTAGTATCACGTGGTATTGTGACGTAACACTGTAGTACTACTCTATGACTTTGATAAGTACATCAATGATCAGTCTGATGAGTAGTCAGATTTTGACATTTTACTGCCACTCGTCATATTCACGTTTTTATGGATAGAAAGTCTCTGGAACTTAGTGTAACATTTGTCTTGTGTATTTTTAAGTAGCTTGTTTTTCTTTAATGTTGTTTTATAAAGATGTTTGATTTAAGCATAAGCAACCCTACTCAGCCCTAACCATTAGGCATACGGGGCCGACGTCAGTGGTCCATCGGTAGAAGAATGATGGACGTACTTGTGGCCTAGGCTAGGACGCCACTGCAGGGTATCCCTATACCAGGAGACCGAAGTCCTAATGAACAATTAAATGGGTGAACAGCATAATTTTACATTCGGAATCGGCCTAGATTGTTCCCCTGTTGATTTTTCCCGTCATCGGGACTAATCTCTTTGTAATATGTTATTGTCTATCTGGGTAAAGAAGTTGAAATAATAAATAAAAAACAAACAAAAATATGCGAGAATTGACTTTGAACAGTACCAACCAAGGAAGGAGAAACGTGGAGTCGTAACCACAAATCCCGGCGTTGCCCAATTGTCATTCGAAATAAACAAGAAATTACTTACCATCGGCATTACATTTCAAAATAAGAACGACAACTAGCAATCTAGTTACCATCCAGAACCACTCCGTCATCAATTCCATTTTAAATTGTAGGCATATAAGCTCCTTCCCACACAAACTCTCTTGCTGATAATAAATACGTCTGTTGAATAATAGGCTACATCCTTTTACCAATGGTTGTATCCTCTTTCTTCTTCGATTTCCGCTGGGAGTACGGTACAATCTAGTACCAACATTGCCAACATGGGGTCTGAAGGCCATAACTTAAATTATATTTCCGAATTAAAAGAAAGGTCACGGCTATAAATAATGATTATATGCAGACGTAGTTGCACCGTGTGCCTGGAAGAAAACCCTTCTTAAAACAATTTAGAAAAAAACACCTGGGCAAAAAGTGTTAATGTTGGTAGTCTCAACTTAACCTGTATATCTTTATTGTTTAAAAAAAAACAAACAACCTTACAAGCACTTTATCGATATTTTCCTTCAGATTACTATAATATCTTCGTTTTTCTTATTTTATTTTATATTTACACATTTTTCAAACATGCAAAAATTATTAATGCACAGCATTATATTACTGTACTGTATCGTAGAGGGTATTATATTACATAGTCTCACCTACTGTAAATAAGATTCAGATAAGATTTGTTGGTTTTCTATTTTTTTTAAAAATGAAAACCTCATTTGACATTTTACCTTAGCCTTGATTTGTTCTTATTTTGTTCTTAATTATTAAGCAATTTCAGCCTCAGTGTTCTTATAAAATATGTTCCTACTTATTGTGCAGTTGTAGGCTTGGCCTACCCTTTAACATACTCTTTAGTTAGAATGTAGGTAAAAATGGCCCTGGAAAAAATGGCCCCGGAAAAAATGGCCCCAGTAAAAATGGCCCCAGTAAAAATGGCCCCAATTGACAAGTAGGTAATAATGGCCCCAATGAAAATATTCAGTAATAGAAATAATATTTTGTTTTTAAATCTTCAAATATTTAAATACTAGCTGAAAAAATCGAGAATTGAATCAATAACAAATACAGTTACACAACAGATGCAAATAATGTACTGAGAGATTTTTGGAAAACATTGGCCATTGAATAACATTTTTTGATAGTAGAAATAAGTTTTAAAAACGTTATTCCACTAACAAAGTAGAGGAATAACATACATACAGTACTTCAACTACCAAAATATGCAACTCATAGATAACCACAAAATTCACTTTTGTTAAGTTTCAAATAAAATAACTTTACATGTTATAAACAGTGCAAATAAACAGTAGTTAAAGCATGTGGATCAATTGTGTGTTTTAATCACAAGTTCATGTATGGGAAAAAGGAGAGGCTTACTTTCTCACAAACTTAGCAATAAATGTTCTGCTTAGAGTTACTTCAAAGAAGTATTTGTTAATCAAATATTGTTTTTAAAGTAAACTGAATAATTAGGAATATGCCTACATTTACTTAAGCAACTTATTTAATTGCATACTTGGTTTTACTCCCCGCCAACTAAATTTAAGTGCCTAAAAGTATACTAAATAATGTAAACTGAGATACTATATATACAAATGTAAATATGGCAATTATGCTAAGAATTAAAATGGCGTGAAATTGTGAGGGTAGGGTAATTATGGTAGGATTAAATGGTATTTCTAAATCCCACAAACCTCCCAAAACACACTGTAGAAAACAAAACAATTCAATTTTGATTGACTCACTTGGTATATCAATAAGAAAATTAAATATTCATAAGAACCTATTTTTTGGTTAAAATGTTGATTTTTTTTGTGAAAAAATACTTGCAAATACACCACAAACCTTCAAACACATTGCGAACCCCATCCAAACCCCTTAATTATGATTGTAGAACTCTCTATTCCAAAAATAAAATAATAATTTGATGTTCATATTCACTCATTGTTTGTGGGGTTTACCAATACCCCACCAATTGAATTTTTGGAAAATTTTGATTCCGCTTCCGTGAAATGGGCCACAAATAAATTATTTTAGTATTAATAAATGCATGATTTATGTTGATTTATTGATTATGTTGTTGCTATTTTTTAACATTTAAATGAAAAAAAAATAAAAAGTGTTAACTATTTCAGTTAAAAAAAATGCATATAATGATTTTTTAAAAATCAGTTTTAATACAGAATTTTATTATTGGGGCCATTTTTACCTACCTGTCATTTGGGGCCATTTTTACCGGGTCATTTTTACCAGGGCCATTTTTTCCTGGGAATTTTTTCCGGGGCCATTCTTACCGTACATCCTTTAGTTATTTAATTGTTCCCTTTCCGGGATCAGGGGTGTATCCACGATTTTTTTCTGTGTGGGTCGTGATCATAATTTTTTGGACTTTTTCAGTGGGAGACAGGAAATCGATTATAGCGCCACCAGATTGAGATAGATTACGTCACGCAATTGGCAAGGACTTTGGACCCATTGCTGGTACCTCATCAATGCTTTTTCATTTAGGGCATTTGGGGGGGGGGGGTCCTACGACCTTTTTTCGACCCCTCCCCCACCCCTTGCATACACCATGAGGATATAATGTGTATGAATTACGATTTACCATCTACAGTTCAATAGACATCCTAATAAATTTTAATCATAATCTGCTGTGTGTACCAGGGTAGGATGGTGCGCACCACTTTTGTTGTTAAGACATAATAGAGGTAATTACTTCTCAACACATTCTATAAGGCCTAATGTTCTACTCCAATTTATTTATAACCACGTTGATCAATAATCTTTTTATGATCACACAATAACACATATTTGACGGTAATATGTTGTAGTTTATAGGCCTATATATACATTTTAGACCCCAAAAAAAACTCCCTCGAAAAAACTCATCCCTCGAATAAACGTCCCTCAAAACCCCTTCTCAAAAATAAACACCCCAGGGCGTTTATTCGAATAAATACGGTAACTGTTAGTTGAATTTTAGTGAATAATAGAATCATGTCATGAATATGTGTTTCGTGACACGTGACATTTTGGGGGCTTTGCTACCAACAAACAGCACTGTCTCTGTGTTCTGTGATATCCACGGTGTAGAATCACAGCACCTTAAAAATCTAATAGTTGTAAACGTGTCGAACAATCAATACATCAATGGGATTGAGCATGGTATTTAGTATGTGTGCGATAACGTTTTTTTTTTATCTTTCTACTGGCTGAAAGTTTATCCCAAATGTTATTCAAATATATTTCTTGACTCAAGTACTCCTTTGCCAGCCTAGCCATGTCCACAGCCATCCACCTGAAAGCAAATCAAAGGCATTATCAATAAATTAATCAATCGATCGATTAATCGATTGATTTAGGTTCAGAAAAATGTCATCCTATATATTAATAAAAATAGTAACAAAAATAAATAATCAATAAATATAACAATAATATTAACAAAGATATTGATGATAATTATTTTATTATCAAAAATATAATTATTATTATGATATTAATAATTAAAATAATAATATTGTAATAGTAATAAATAATAATAATAATAATGATAATAATGATAATAATGATAATGATAATAATGATAATGATAATAATAATAATAATAATAATAATAATAATGAAACGTAGTATGTAAGTAAAATTACGACTCGTTATTGTGATCAACAAAAACGAAATATATTATAAATAATAATGATAATAATAATAATAATAATAATGATAATAATAATAATAATAATGATAATAATAATAATAAATTCCTCTTTTTTGTAGTCCAATTTAAAAAAGAAACAGGCTACAGAAAAAAAACCCAAAAAACAGCCCAATGACAGATCAATTGATAAATGATCAATCAATAATCAAGTGCGCAATGCTTACCAACATTTAACTTACCTTTCTTCTTTGGTGCTTCTTCACACGTCTCACCATCCGGGCATTTGCAGATGAACGAGGCGACAGAAACGCCCAGCGGTCTTGGAAGACAAACTGCATTTTCGGAGCAGCTACCACACAGATTGTAAAATTCTATATAAAAAAAGAGATTTTTCTAAGCACAACAAGTCCTTCAATGTTGCCCCGAATGCCAAGGATCGAGCGGTCTTCTGCCCATAAAAACTATAGTCTGCTTCTTTAGCTTCCTTCAAAAAAGTTTTTTCCTTGTGTACATTGGTTACCTTAGTTGTGTCTTTCTGTTTTCTTATTACACTTTGCTATACAGAAATGGAGTAGGCGGCCCTTTGGATGATGGCTTGGTTTGTCCGGCCTTTGGTTACGTTCTCGCTAACGCATCTAGATATTTATTTTCATTTTGTTTATTATAATTTTTAAACTTACTTCTTATCATGTTATTTACGTAACATCATTTCATTAGTGTTTTGCATATTATTTACTTGTTTGAAATGTTGTATATTGACGTAAAAATGAAGACTTACTTGGTTGTCGGTTCGGGTGCACAAGAGTCATGCCGGTCGAAGACCTTCTCACTGCGTTCACAGCAGCAGACGACTGAGGATCAAGCTTGCTGGCAGTCACCACCGCATTAAGTCTCCAGTCAGTCCAATACAATTGATCTTCAAACATTGTCAACGCAAATGGATGATGAATGAAAGTTGACGAGGCCAGGACCGTCACTAGATTTTCGCCATTGAAGTCACTCGATTGGAGAATGTCGAGACTTGCGTCGATCCAGTAGAGTGTAAACGTAGGAAAGTCGATTGTCAGTCCATTGGGCCAAATAAGATTTCTGACGAGAACTTGACGATGGGAACCATCCATTCCAGCTTTTTCTACAACACCAGTGCCCCAGTCTGTCCAGAAAATATACCTAAAAAAATGAAAAAAAGTATTATGAAGAAAGCTACGTAATACTAAGAGACTGAAAAAGACGGGAAATATAAACACTTATAGTACGAAATTTACTGTTCCAATATACTTGGCTCCACGCCGTTAAATGGAATAGTTTATCTTTCAACTCATGAAAATATTCTTTTCATTGCACACATAAACATTCATTATTTTTGTATTTTACCATTTCAATTTCAAGCTCAGTACAGTCATAAAGCAAACCGAAAAGGGAGAATACAAATTTCTAACTCAACACTGAAAGCTGAAAAGGGGGAATATTTACCCAATTCCTGGATGTACAGCTATTGCTCTTGGTTTGTCTATGTCCTCGGACACCACCGTGACCAGTTTGAATGTGTCGAGGTCCACAGCATTGATGAGCTGTTGATCTCGTTCTGTGAAGTACAAATTGTTATGGACCCAGTCGACGGCGATTCCCTCACTTTTTGTCACATTCGTCACCACGACTTCTGGCTCCGAGGTCACTGTTAGGTTCAATGGCGCTCTTTAATCATTAAAGAAGAAATAATGCATTATTGTTAATAATAGTAAATATTGATAATACTAATTATATATATATATATATA